TGATGAAGTGGATTGTGATCCACAATAGACTACACAATTGTATTTTTTTTTTACACTTTAAGGGTTCTTTGTTCTTTCTGTTGGAGAATGCTACTTTGATTCTCCCTTTGAAAACTACTGAAAAGTATTTCTGCCACACACAAAAATATAGTGACTTAAAAAAAGCAGCTGATGGTTATTATGAAAGCTAGCCTTTATATGGAGTGGGTTTACATGGCTCAGAAATATATCAACACTAGGCCACGGTAGCAATAATTACAATAATGTTACAATTATAACAATGCAATTAGATGGTACATATAATTAAGGCTATTAGAATACATAGAAACATGGCTGTCTCTTAGGAGAGCATGGAAATACAAACAATTTAATGAATATTATTAAATAGTTAAGCTAGTAGGTATAATTGTGGCTCTAAATTTTCCAAATAAAATGTATTCTATGGGGATCATGGGGAAGGACGACCCATTATTGCTGAAAGCAGCTATCTCAAATTGAAATAAAATACAGGACTTTTGACAAATAAACTAAAAATGAATTATAAATAAGGCAGTTATAGATCTTAACTAATAAAAGAACTGTAAACTCAAACTGTTTGCTGCAGAATGAATCTTTACACTTCCTGACAATAATACATTTTCCTAATTTCCCCAAATTTACATTCTATTTCTATAAGATGAACAACATTAGAATTTACTCTGGAGTTATTAAGAACAAGTCGTGTATACAATTTAGGATATGCTTTATACCCACTCTCCTGTCCTAAAGGAAGATAAGATTTAGTTTATGATATGAGCTTTCTAAATTCTGCTTTCTAGATTATGGGTAACCGTTTTCTTAGAAGAAAAAAAAGAAAACATCCCTGTAAAAAATGACCTCTATTATTTCCATAAATTAATAGTGAAGGAGCTAAGCTTTTTGTCTTCTTAACACATAATCTTGGCTTTTCCTTACTTTAACTATGCTGAATTAAGTTTTAAGTAATTATTGCATTAAACTGTAGTAACTGCATGAACATGGAGTAGTATAACTAAAGGTAGTCCTCGACTTACAACAGTTCATTTAGTGACTGTTCAAAGTTACAACATCACGGAAAAAAGTGACATGACCATTTTTCACACTTATGACCATTGCAGCATCCCCATGGTCACATGATCAAAATTCAGATGCTTGGCAACTGACTCACGATGAGTGCAGTATCCAGGGGCAACCTTCTAACAAGTAAAGTCAATGGGAAAATCAGTTTCACTTAGCAGCTGTGTTACTAATTTACCAACTGTTGTGATTCACTTAACAACTGTGGCAAGAAAAGTCATAAAATGGAGCAAAAGTCATTTAACAAACTTCTCACTTAGCAACAGCAGTTTTGGGCTCAATTGTAGTTGTAAATTGAGGACTACCTGTATAAGAGGAAAATCTGACAATTTAACCTCTAAAATACTGTGGTCTCTTTTGTAGTGAGCTGCCAAACATTTTAGTCTATTTACAGAACTCTTCAGTATCAGAAGTTAAGCAATAACTTAAGCAATAACATGGGCATTTTTTTAAAGTGATGCTACACTTGCTCTCAAAAAGGAGAAGCCTACCTCAAGATGAGGATTTTCCTCACGGCTTTTCACACAAAATGATTGAGAACATTATCTCTCTGCTGTTGATTAATGGAGTCTGGCTTTTTCCAGGCTTTCATGGAAGCCTGGAAAATGGGCTGCTTAAATGTTTTCCTAACTTTAACAAATAGATTACTTAAAGGTGCTACATATTTTTCAAATTCTATTAAAAGCATGGAAAGAATCAGCAATTAGTAGAGAGGTTCTATATTCGGGAAAGAACCAAAGCATTTCTTCTGAATCCTTTTTGAAGAATGTGCAGCTCTAGTTTCCATGCCCACTGTCTTTGTACATCTCCAAATCAGCTAATGGAGGGGATTAGGGTTTCCCCCCTAAAAAAACCCCATATGTTCCCGGAGTTAAAGCAAATGGAAATGAAATTCAAAGGGGAATTGTGGATGTGGTCTGTAGCTGCCACATAATGATCTGTTCTTAGAATACTTAAACACAAAGTATATAGCCGCAATCAAATAGATGCTTTCCCAACTCATCCATGGTGGTGGTGTTGTCTGAGGCAGCCCTAATAAGTAGCCACATTGCTCTGTTGAAACAATAATAATAGCGAAGTTCTCTTCTCATGTCACACTAAATCCAGCAATTTCCGGAATACATAGTTAATTCTATGTTTTTAAAAACGTACATGTAAAAGATAATATTTCAATTTTGCAGTTTAAATAGTTCCCTTTCTTGGGAGAGAAAAGTGTTATTAATATTGTCCACTAACTATACAGAAACCCTCGCACAAAGTTTATGCGAGAACAAAGGCAATATGTGTTAAGTAAACTGAAATTTTAATTTCTGTAATTTATGTATTCTTTAAGCACGAAGAGACATGGCTCAGTTAACGAGCCCAAGAATTATTAAACAGATTGTCAAGAAATTTAGAGCACTTCTCTGAATAGGTTAAATAAGATAATGTGAGCAGACCCATTGGTATGTACACCAAATATGTTTTTTAGTTAAGAGGGAAAAAGATGATCAATTTGGTCCACAACGCTACATGTAAAATGATTGGTCTAAAGATATATGGGAATTCCCATTAGGTTGTTCGTAGGAAATTTTTGCTATGGCTGACAAAAACATAATGATCCTAACAACAATGTATTTTGCATATAAAACATCATTTGGCATTTTCTAGGACAGGCTGGGAAAGATTCTTGTCTAAAATGCTGGAAAAGTGCTGCCGATTGGACCGATTTGCTATAAAAGTTGTTATTGATTTCAGTTGCATCATATAATGCAGGTGACATTTTATGAGGAGAAATGCTCTCTGGCCTGGAATACAGAAAGTTGTGGGACGGCCTTTGGGCAGAGTGCCAGGGGAATTCCCAGCAAATGCTCTTTCTTCTGCATCAGGTGTAGGTGGAAGAAACTGGTGCTTGGAAGTCACTTGCAAAGGGTGTGCTAAGTATATGGGCCTTGTTTGGTAGCAGGATCATCTTCACTATGCATTCCCTTAGCACTTGCTTTACATGTGTTTTCTACCCCAACAAACATTTGCACTGGATAAAACTGAAAGATTTTCCATTCTTTCTTACTAGACGGATTGGAGGTTGTTACTATCTCCAACACATTTTTTGGGATCCAAATCAAATACTTCAAATATTGCTACAAGCATACAGTATTTTTTTTTTTTTAAAGATGGGGTATTGATATTGTCTCTCAACCCAGCACTCCTGTACTTGGAGAATGCTGAAGCCCTTGAGATAATTTAACAGATCTGGACACTGGAAGGCTGGGGACAAGAGTCCTTTTTTTACTCTTCCGCTGTTGCAAACAATTCTTCCCTTTTATTTGCAGAAGGAGCGGCCAAGTGATTCTCATCAGAGTCGGCCTTCCTCGCGCTGTACTGCAAAGAGGCCGTTTAAAAAATAGCCTGCTCTTCATGTTGCATAGGAACAGGAGAGGAGGACTAAAAGGACCAGAGGCCTTGCTTGCCGCGTTTCTGCAGCTCTCGGCCGGCCTGCTTGAGAAGCTGCTTGAAAGCTCCACAGGCTTCTCCGCCCTCATCCCGGAGCCTTCTGCTCATTCGCTCCCCTCCCCGCCAAGGTAGCTTGTCGGGCCCCGCCCCAAAACCCTCCGGGCCCGCTCATTGGTGGGCGGCGGGCCAAAAGGCGGGGCTCCGTTTCTCTTGTTTGTACCCGGCTCGGGATGCCCCGCCCGCCAGCTGTTTTTAAAGTCTCGGCCGGCTTGTGCTCTGGAGCTCTTTGGAGTGCTAAGCGGGGCTCGTCGGTGGGGAAGGGAACGACGGCGGCGGCATCCCCGACTCGCGTTTAGGCATGAAGCTGGCGAGCAGCCCCAACCCAACTCGGCACCGCGAAGTAGGGCGACCGTTTGGCTGTACTAGCCGTGGGAACAAGGTAAAAAGACCCGTGACGGGACAGAGAATCCGGGGAAGAGTCGTGTTATCGTTTGAGGACTTGGCAAGGATCGGTCTTGTATGATTTGATGCCCTTTGGGTTTTTCGCTAGAGAAGCTTAATGGAGATGACAAATGCAGAAGGCAAGCATCAAATATTGAAAAAATAACCCAGACCAATTAGAAAGTTGGTTGGCAATGAAAGGGTTCAAAAATGACTGTTGACAGATCTGGACTCTGGTGAATCAACACCGGTATAAATCCAGGAATGGATATAGGGAGAGAATGAAATTGGTCCCTAGGATAGAAAGGTACGGTCTTGTTAGAATCTTTCTAAAGTATTTGAAATAGTATGATTTTAATATTCTTTTTTTATCATGAGGTTAAAAATATATCCTTAAACTGGTGGTTCATCATAAATAATGGGGATAGCAGGGAGGATGGGTAGCTTGGCTTAATTGGTAGTGCATTCCTGTTTCCCTGGTTTACAGGAAGATTTTTCCTTACTGTTGCTTGTTTTGCCATCTAGTTTGCTTTTGGCTTAAGGCTGAACACTACTTGTTCCTATACATAAAATATAATGGTACAATTGGAAGTGTAATGCTACTCAGATTTGCTTTGATGGTAATTTTGAAAATCAGATTTTTTTTTTCTAGTTTATGCTGTTAAAGCTCCTAATTCAGTACCACTTTTGATCCTTGTTGCCATTAAATACCTACTAACCAAGGAGAACAGACTGGGTTAATGCTTTTTTGCCATTTCAAATCCTAAAACGAGTGATTGGAAATTGCAGAGAAATAAAATGCAGTTAAGCCATGCAAATAACTTGTTTGTGAGTAGAGCTTCTTGGCAGCAGACCAGACTGCTGTAAAAGATGGTGGGTTGTTTGTGCAGGAGCTTTGCAAGCAGCAGCTAAATGCTTTTCATCTGGCAAGAATACTGTAAACTCATCCAGGGCCTCTAAATGTCCTTATTCTTTTGATAACCTGGACTTCTAATATATTAGCATTCTATACATTGTAGTCTCATGTTCCTTCTGTAATTGAAATGTTTAGTATGTTTTGTTCATGGATATCACTTTTGCAATCTGAAATGAGTTGCCAGTTCCATGAAAATATGACATATTGGGCTATAATGGTGTTATGAGTGGGTGCTTACCATTTTCAAGGTGTCTATGTATAGTGTGGATTGTGCTATCATTTAATCAAAAAGCCTAGAAATAAGATTTAAGGAATTGTACATTAATTTTGGAGTGAAATAAGAAAAAAATAGAACAGGCGAACTCTACTTATGAAGACCTTTTACTAGGAAATTTAACATGTGTTTGTTATATGAAGTCAGTGGTGTACCTCATAAAATTTTTTATAGACAATATCAGTTTTGTATAATCTCTTATACAATTTGGCATCAACTCACTTCCTCAATTGGTTGTTTGGAGGCTGACTCAAGGAAAATCTCCAGTTGTGTTGTTGTCCAGTTGTAAAATAGAGAACAGTATGTGGGTGGAAATGGTTTCTGTGAATGTTCCCACCCTAAAAATATTGCTTAGCTCCAGAGATCCAACTTGCCTGTCTTGTCCACTTCAGTAATAAGAGTAGAGAAAAATCTAATTGTTTTAACCATTCATTGTACTTAAAGGGAAATGTACAAACCACCAATACAAATCTTACCACATGAAAGCATAATATGAAATCATTTATTAGAAACTGAAAAGAACCACAGAGATTTAAAGATGAATGTTGTTGCATGCCAGTTTAAATATCTAAATTGACCAGAAAATGTTTCTGAGAGGATGAGGGGAATAAGGATGGATCCTTGTCCCAAGTGGATAAACATTTTAAAAAGGTGAGTAGGCAGGTATAAATGATGGGGGGGGGAGCCATATATTGAATGCAGATGAAAGCAGCATATGAATTAAGGGGTTATTAAAAGTCTCATGGGAAACATAGTTTTGAGGGAAGAATTTTAAAAACTGGAAGATCTTTCAGAGCGTAAATATAAACATACAGAGAGAAAGGGCAAAGTTGTATAAGGAAACCAACACCTACTGAGGAAGGTAGTGGAGGAAATGAAAGTTGAGAGATGGTACAGCAAACCTTTTATAGTTTTAATTGTAAAGACAATAGATTCTGAACTAGTTAGAAGTTCAGTGCATGGACTAAAAGAACTGTGTTATGGGAAGTAATGAAACAGTTCTGGATGAAGGTTTAGCAATAGAAAACAAAAAGCAAGAAGGCTTCAAGAAGTGTAGATGAGAGACAGGCAAAACATGATAAAAAGTATAATACAATACTGTACTGATAAGACACCCCGAAAAAAGCTTTAAAGCATAACTATTTTGGGCTAAAGAATCGAGGTGGGGTCCACAACCTATGTACTGATTCTCTAATGTTTCTGTATTTTTGGCAGCCTTTGACTTTTGTCTGTGGTGAAGAACTGCTATTCTTGTACAAACTGATAAAACCTGAAAGTAGAATAAGGAACATTGAAATAATGGGGCATTTCAATGTTTGCCCATACTGGTTTGAGAGAGGCTGCAGAAAAGATTGGGCGTCTCATGTTGCTTATATTAGACCTGCATATTGTCTTGCTTGCCTGTTAGATTTATTCAAACTGATCAAAGAAAAAAAAAATAGCAATGCATTTTATCAAGTAGATAGACTACATGCCATTAAAAGATAAAGGATGTGCGCCTGTATTTTTTTCCCCCAATTCCCCAATCTGTGGATGCCAATGATTCTGTTAAGTGTCCTGCCACCAAGCTTATGTTGACCCTCTGCTTCAGAGTAGGAATCTTAACTGCATGATGCTTTCTGATATGGACGCTTGCAGTGCTGTTAGCCATTGCTGCTGGTGTCCAGTATTGGCACAGCTAGTAGATGCAGTGATGACCATTCTCTAGTCCTCCAGGTATTTTAGTGGTGCCATCAAAGTTCAAAAAGCAGTCGCTGACTGCCATATTTATAAACTCCAGCATATATTTGCACAAAGAGTAAGGATCCAGACTGGGATTCTGGAGCAAGGAAATTGTTATATTCCCATAAAAAGAAAGCTGCTGCTACATGGCTTTGCCAGGGTAAATGAGCAGTGATGGTGGCAGCTGTGGTTGTGGTAACCTATTGGGATGCTTATAGCTACATCACAAATGCCATGTTTTCATTTATTGTAAATTTCTAAAATAATTGGTGTGTGTGTATGTGTCCGTGAGAGAGGAAATAATGTATAATTCATTTAACCATCCAACCATCCTTTTTAAAAAAAAAATTATCCTGCCTTTATCATTTTAATAAATAACTCAAGGCAGCAAATATATCTAATATTCCTTCCTCCTCTTTTTTTCCCCACAACAGCCTTGTGAGGTGGGTTGGACTGAGAGAGTACGACTGACCAAAGTCACCCAGCTGGCTTTTATGCCTAAAGCAGAAGGATTAGAACTCACAGACTCTTCTGGATTCTAGCCTAGTAACTTAACCACTAGACCAAACTGCCTCTTGGGTCAGTCTTTCTTTTGATTATTTGGTAATTGACCAGAAGAGGGCTTGGTTCCTGTTTTCTAGAACCTGTTGTAAGGTAATCACTTTGCCCACATATTCATTTTGCTTTTTCAGTGGGCAGCCAAAGCTCCAGCAGTGCTTTTCAAAGGCCAAGTCTTGCTTTTTTAAAAAAATTGCTGGTCTCTACTACTTATTATTTTTTAATGGGTGATGATACTTATATATCATAACTTGATATATATTTTTCTGAACGCAGGAGAAAAATATTTTGTTCTGACACAGAACTTCTTTTCTGGATGAAGTGATTCTGCACGAAAAAAAAAAATAGAAATGATTATGTGATTAGGTCTTGTTCACAATAACAAAGGCAACCAGCTTTAGTTTTGTGAATTCCATAAGGTTATCTTTTTAACTGCATTATCATACAATTGCAAAATTGGTTCATGCAGTGTGTGTATAAAGGTGTTTTTAAAAATGCCACTTGGGTAATCTTGGGTAATTCACTGCTTTTGTAATATGTTTAAAATATCATAGCTGAAAACATTTTAGTTGTGCAATGGGGCTTGAAAATTAATTCAGCGAAAGTTTTGCGGTGGATAAAAGTTTCAAGTTGACTATAAATTCAGTCTAAGAAATTACTGTTTGTTCTTTGTCATTTTTAAATAGACATATAAAAAATCCTATTGCATGTATTTTCGTGGCTTCCCCCTCAAGCCCTGATAAAATTACAGCCCTGTTAACTTCCTGAAAGATACTGAGAGATTTCATACATACTCTGTTTTGCGGATATGCAGATGTACTTCAAAAGCCTCCAGTATCGCTGACATTACCCTGCTAGCAGCTGTGTACTGAACTCCTTGTTCTTGACCCTTTGCCAAGTACTTTATGCAAAACTAGGTTTTTTACTGAACCAGGTTTCATTGTTTTTAATGGCAGCAGAATGGTGCACTGTAAACAAGTGTGGCTTGTTATGAAGCATGGGCAGAACATTTCCACTGATTGCACTTTTGAAATACAAGGCTGGTTCTGTTTCAGTGGTGAAGCATTAATTGCTCTCAAAGCCGCAGCTGAAATGTTTATAACTAAAAAGTTCAGGTACTGTAGTATAATATTCTTTTCTAGGAACTTGGAATTAGGATCCCCAGACCACTGGGACAAGGACCAAGCAGATACATCCCAGAAATGGAGGTATTTAAGGCTTTCTGTTTTGCATGAAAACAATGAAATTGTGACATTTTTGCCAGGGTTGGAGGGGATTTTCAAAGTTTAAGGTTGACTGAAGAACAGCTGTTAAACTGCAAATCTGTATTGGCCATCCGGAGTGCAACAAATCATTAGTAGTGTTTGGCAGCAGGAAAAGTTGTTCATGTAGAGCCTTGGTGGCGCAGCAGACTAAAGTGCTGTTAAATAGCACCAGCTGCCTGCAATTACTGCAAGGTCAAATCTCAACAAGGCTCAAGGTTGACTCAGCCTTCCATCCTTTCGAGGTAGGTAAAATGAGGACCCGGTTTGTGGGGGCAATAAGCTGACTTTGTATAAAAAAGAACACCGCTTAGGGGGGCCCCAAAAGCCCTACTAAGCAGGTATATACAAAAAGTATGAAGTATTAACGCATTGTAAGCCGCCCTAAGTCTCCAGAGAAGGGAGGCATATAAATTGAACAAATAAAACAATAAACAATAAATGTAATTTTAATACAGGTAGTCCTTGACTTACAGCAATTCACTTAGTGACAGTTCACAGTTACGACAACACTGAAAAAAGTGAGCTTCACAGTTACAACCTTTGCAGCATCCCCATGATCATGTGATCAGAATTCAGATGCTTGCTAACTGGTTCATACTTACGACGGATGCTGTGTCCCAAGGTCATGTGATGATCTTTTGCAACCTTCTGACAAGCAAAGTCAATGGGGAAGCCAGATTCACTTAACAACCAGGTTACTAACTTATCAACTGCAGTGATTCACTTAACAACTGTGGCAAAGAAAAGTCATAAAATGGGGCAAAATTCACTTAAGAAATGTCTCATTAATAACAGAAAATTTGGGCTCAATTGTAATCATAAGTCGAGGACTACCAGTATTTAATTGGCCATTTTAAACTGGTTGCCCAATTCTTTTGGGCATCAACTATTGTTTAACCTGATCCATAATTGTAACAGACATACATGTTAAATAAATATAATTAGCTGGTGAACTTTAATTCCAAATTAAGATTCACAAGTGGCCTTCTGAGAGTGATTTATTTTCCACTACTTAGCAATTTGGAAGACTTTATTGACTATACATTGTTGATAATTAAAATATGCTTTCTATTTATTTCTCAGCTAAAATGTGCCTCCAGATAATTAATCAGTCACATTATTAATTTGTAGTTCGCATACTATTTGCCATGTTTGGGCAATGGTTAATTTTAGAATCTCTTCTGTGCCCCAACTCAATGTGTGCACAGTATATAGACTTAACAATTTATTTGGACTATTTTTCTCATTCTCAAAAGACTTTGAAGATATATGGACTTCAACTCCCCGCATTCTTCAGCCAGCATTTCTGGCTGGGGAATTCTGTCAGATGAAATCCATACATCGTAAAGTTGCTGAGGTTGAAAAACACTGGCTTTGAATTATTAAATAATTTACAATTATTTAAAATATGTTATTTTTGCTCCTAGAAAATATTGTTGCTGTGGTTTCTCTCTCCCCCCCCCCTTCACACAGATTCTTCAAGTGAGCGCTGAGGATCCTCAGATGTCTTCTTTGTTTGCTGAGTCTTTCACAACTTTAGGGCATTTGGATAACATTACATTGGTGATGGTTTTTCATCCACGGTATCTGGAGAGCTTTTTGAAAACGCAGCATTATCTATTGCAGATGGATGGTCCACTGCCTCTTTGCTATCGACACTATATAGGTATAATGGTATGTTGAATATGACCCATGAAACATTTTTCTTACAGCATTAGCGTTTCTCTTTAAAGTATATGACTATGTGGTTAGAGAATCTCAGGATCTCTGTGAATTTTATTAATTTGTAAAAATAACAGCATTCTATCTCGGGAATATTGTAAGATATCCTAATGAGTTTCTATCTGCACTAAATATTATACTCAAAATTACACAGTATCATACATGCAAATTCTTTATTGACATGAGCAACAAACAAGTTGACTTTTGTTTACATTGTCATGTTCCATAAAAGCAGCCAATTTAGTATCAGTGATACTGAGCAAAGTGGTTTTCTCATTCCCTCTTCAATCTTTCTTGATCTAAATCTAAATCTACATGCCCTTTCTCATATTACTCACTTTTTAGCACTTGCTGAATAGAGAGCACATACAGCTCTAAAGCACCAAAGCAAAACTAATTTAAAATTAAGTGGACTTTTAGGAAAATGGATTTAAAATTATTAGATAGATTTAAATAAGAGAGTTCAAGGGGAAAGTTTTAAACGATTCCTAACTCAATACTGATGTTTTATGGCTGCATTTAAATTAAATCAAAAATGTTGTCCCACAGTCTGACAACCTGAACTGGCTTGGGCGAGCTCAGTTGTAAATATGGAAACTTCCTATATTTTTAATAATCTTGCCAAGGGCTCTATGATAATTTCAGTAGAAGAGTACATGTAGCTCGGAACTGAACTGTAGATCCTTGGTGTTCCCTGAGCTTGATTGTTTGCTCGCAGACATTTCATTACTCAATTAGGTAATATCATCAGTGCTAGTGAGTGTGGATTTGTTCCCTGTTTATATACAGTAGCTTACCCTCCCGGTTTTGATGGGGGTGTGGATTTCTACTTGGTAGTTCCTTGTTGAGGGTATTGTTTCTGCTTGTTTGTCTGGTGTTAGTTCATGTTTATCTGGGTGTTGGCTGCTGGAGGAGATTGTTCTGGTCTTTCTTTACTTTTTAGCTTTTGTCTCTTGAATGACATGTAAATATGGTTTATTTCTTACAGTAGCTGATTTGACTGAATATCAAGTTTCCAGGAATTCTCTAACATTTTTGGAATTGGTCTAGGATGCTCACAGTTTCCCAGTTGAAACTATGGTTGAGTCTGTCCATTTTTGGCTGCATGAGATTAAGAGGTTTGCATTGTGTCCTTCTGACTGGATCTGCTCTTCTAGTCTTCTGCTTGTCTGTCTTGCATAGTGGCTGCTACAGTCCTTATACTGTATGTAGTAGATGACTTCCGTTTTTTCCTTCATGTTTTTTCCTTCATTGTTTTGGTTTACATAAGAGGTTTTGGAGGGCTTTAATTTAATTTAGTTTGCGTGCTATGGTAATGCCTTACCAACCACCATAATACTATGGTGGTTGAAATAGTCCTGTTGATCGTTTCTGAGATTTTTTGGTGTAATAGTGTTATCTTTTTCATAGCTTGTGTTGATTATGCTCTAGTCCAGGGGTGGGCAACTGTGGCCCTTTTACAACTTGTGGACTTCAACTCCCAGAATTCCTGAGACAGCCAAGCTGGCTCAGGAATTCTGGGAGTTGAAGTCCACAGGTCATAAAGGGGCCATATTTGCCCACCCCTGCTCTAGTACATAGTCAAGCATAGTCAGGAACTTTTTGATAAAGCTGCATAGATATTCATTTTGTTGGAAGCTGTTGCATAGGCGTTCTGTTTTCTTGTTCTGATGTATGGGCCTGCTGTGGTATATGTGTCTGAATAATGTTCTTACACAGCTCCTCTTGTAGGAGGTTGGGTTGTAACTTTGGTAATGGATTGTTCACCTTTCCACTATCTCCATAAAGCTAAGAAAATTGTCAGTCTGGAAACTTTTTAACAGTGAAATGGGTATATAAAACAATTGAAGTGATAGAATACAGTTTTGAATGAATTCAAACCGAAATTAGAACTAAACTATTATATCTCAGTAATGATGTCTCTATTGTATGATAGAGAGAATAGCAAAGAATAATTATTTTGCATCATTGCAGTCATACATAGTCTTCCATTTCTATGACCAGTTTGCAAGACACTTTTTTGTATATAAAATCATTTTAATTCCTTCTGATTTACAGTGCATATTAAGTTATGCATCTTTTGCAGTTGTTAGTGCAGAGATTAAAGGCTCCCTACAATTTTTGCATCCTGAGAATATGAACAGGCTCATTGAGGTTGTCCACATTGCATGCTTGTTACATCCTGGATGTAAAAATAGCCAACTACTAAGTGTTGCATATAGTTAGTTCTTGTCTATCCTTGTTTAACAGTGCTTAAGAAGGTAACTTTAGATTTAAATGCTATAAATATTAGGTGGCATTTTTATTAACTGCATTAATATGTAGTGATGGTCCAACTTTAATCTAACTTTGGTATAAAACATGGTATCTTCTGGGTTACTGTGTTGCGAGGAGTTTGCAGAGGAAGAATATTTTATTGATCCAGTTTAATTTTGATAGCATACTTTAAAAGGCTCATATGTAGCCCTTTGGCCTGGATCCCATGATTTTTATCTTGTTTGTTGACATTTATGTAAAACTGTTAACAGAGATCACTTGAAGATCAACAGTCAAATGTTATTGCCTAGGATTGCCTAGGGAATAAATGCAGAAGAGTCATTGCCCCAATGACTATTAGGTAATGTATTTAACTCACTTAGGTGCTAGTTGTACTTCTTTGTGGTTTTGTTCTTGCTGCTTTCAGCTTGTTGAAAAATCATTCTAACGATGATTCTGTTTTGTAAGCCACTATATATGCCTTTGCTTTTTAAAGGAAAATTTGGATATCATTTCAGTCAATGAAATTTCTTTCTAGCAATACTATCCTTAAATCAGGGCTGATCAATGTACAGCCTGCCAGATGAAACTGAACACTATTCCCCATCAATCCTCACCAGTGTGATTATTAGTGAGAGATGAGGGAGTTGCAGTTCAACCTAAAATCTAACTGCAAGTTGCTTTCAAATTTAATCCATTTCATTGTGTTGCTTTTCAATTTTGATCTTGCATATAAGGCATATACAAAAATGAAATAATTAAAAGAATGCATGGTTTTTTTCCCAGTAGTGTACGGTATTGTGTTATATGCATTATTTTACTTTACCTAAGCAGTGTTCTCTGTAATTATGTTTTTAAATGACTATGGAACATCTCTGTTCCATAATTCTTGCTTGCACATTGTTTCCTAGGCTGCAGCAAGACATCAGTGCTCTTACTTGGTAAACCTTCATGTCAATTATTTTCTGCAAGTTGGAGGAGATCCTAAATGGCTGAATGGTCTAGAAAATGCACCTCAAAAGTTGCAGAAGTTGGGTGATTTGAATAAAATCTTGGCACACAGACCCTGGCTTATTACAAAGGAACATATTGAAGTAAGTATGTTTCTTGAATCTGTAATGATCTTATATTTTTGAAATGGCTGCCATTATTTGTTGGTCCATAATTCTTAAGCTACCAATTTAATGTTTGTTACTCAAATTTAAGTTATTGCAGAATCTGTCTCCAAATCACTTTAATGAACTCAGCAGGGGTTTCCCCATCACTTGTTGCAATATTTTTTTTTAAAGGTTCTCTTTTTGTTTTTACCAATTCAAAATGTAACAAGAAAAGATCATCCTTCCTCCCCAGAAATACAAAATTGTACCCATTTTGATTATATTTTCTCTCCAAAATCTTTGAGTCCCATAGCACGAATGACTAAATTGTTTCTGGATGTTTGACTTTTACAGTATTTAAAGTAGTTAAACTATATTGTTTCAAACTCTGTTTCCTGCATAGACTTTATGCTTAGTCATCCTTCACCACTGCCTGCTTTTATTTCTAAATTATTGTCCTAGATCCATAGAACAAACAATACATGGTGTAATTCTCATAGCTGTCAAATGAAAAAGGATTGAAAAGTATTTAACATGGCTTTCTGCATTTTAAAAGGACCCTTTAGAATGGAACACACTTAACATTAATCTCTTGCTGTAGTATTTTTGATCCACTGTGGACTTACCTTTATAATATTACTTGTGGTGTGATGATTATAAGTTTGTTATGGAATATAGTTTGGAGTCCCAGAAGAGAGGGACTGCTTCAGAAGGCAAAAAGGCAACGGAGCTTGAAAAGTCTACTAGTAGTTTACACAGTACATCTATAGTTATGCAGATAGTTACTTTAATCTGGCAAGAGTCTGCCTGTAGGTGAACAATAAAGGAACCTCTCAGAAGTAACTCCACATGTCACTGTTGGTTCTTGGGGCCTGACCGAATTTGATGTAATGATTACATTCCTTCTCCCTTCTTTTTCTTTTAAAGCAACTTCTAAAAACCGAAGAACACAGCTGGTCATTGGCAGAATTGGTCCATGCTGTAGTACTCCTCACACACTATCACTCGCTTGCTTCGTTCACTTTTGGCTGTGGAATCAATCCAGAGATCCACTGTGATGGCGGTCACACTTTCAGGCTGCTCTCCGTTGATGGTTATTGCATTTGTGATATAACAAATGGCAATCATGATGAGTATAAGATGCACACCCCTGATACAGATATTACAGTGAGTATTATGTTCTGAAAGGTTGAGTGTGTTTACCTTTTAAAAAAGCATCCGTTTGTTGTGGTGTATATTTGCAAAGTTGTACAACTTGCCTTCCTTCCCTTAGTCCCTCCCTCCTCTTTTTTTTTTTAATGGAGAGAATGAATACTTTAAACTATCAAGTAAATCTCTTTAGAAATGCAAGATGGATGCTATAGAGGGGGCACACTGAAATGGAGTACATCTGTTACTTAACCATTGGAGGAAACTTCTGTATGACTTTGTAACCATAGTGTTTGAACACATGGACCCTGGAACACCAAAAGAAATTCAGAGAAAATTTTTGGAAGTCTCAGATGTGGGAAGAGGCTGCCATATTAGGCTGAAAGCAATCTTAACTTGAATGTAGTCTAGAACATAACATTTCATTTCAGCTGCACCTTTTGTACTGTTACTAATACTGTATATATTAACATATACAGCACTGCAGCAAATGCACAGTGTTAGATATAATTGCATGCCAGGAAACCCAATTGGCTTAAGATACACGGACTTGGATTTTTCTCAATATGAGCTAGAAGAAACATCAATGGTCAAGAAATGTTTTTCTTCCAAGAGTTGGTCTGACTTTTCTAAATTACCACCTGGAATTATCTGATATATCCTCTGCAAGACAAAGAATGATTATAAGATTGTTTTTATTTTTCAAGATTATATGATTGAAGATAATCATAAAGTTCTTAAGAAGCGAACAGTCTTCTCGCAAACAGTTTGCATTATGTTGGTTTAATTAAAACAAACAGAAATAGTCACTCTTAATTGTAAGAAATTTTGGGACTATGAAGCGTATCAGTTAGAAACATGATTTGCCGCTCAGTTGAGACTTTATTAATAATAATGCAAGGCCTCAGCCTTTTTGAAATTTGTTCTAACAAGTTCAAAATGGTTGAATTAGCTGTATTATAGCAATCACAATTATAGGATATTTAATGTTACTATCCTGTGATGTAGTGCCACACTAAGGAACTACTGCTAGCAATTCCTGCCCACAAGTACATTTATGCATCAACTTTACATATTCTCATTTTAGGAGATTTAAAAATTCCTTCAAGTGGTAAAACAATTTCCATGTATTTGCTATGCAGCAGAATAATTGTTCCTTTAATTTAAGCATTAGAAAAAATTGTATTTGCTTTCTTCTTAATTCTATAAATAGGCATTCTAAAAAAGTTGCAAATACTATGTTAGGTATAAAATAGAAAATCTGGCCTTTATCATAATAGAGTATCAGTGCTACATTGCAATTTTAAAAAATCTTGCTATTAAAGACTCCCGAGCCCTCCTGTGAAGTAGAAGCACTTATGGAAAAAATGAAGCAAATACAGGAATGCAGAGACGATGTTGAAGCTAGTCAAGAGGAAAAGGCCACCCGATTCGAGAAGGAGAAGAGAGAAAGCATGTTGGTGGTTTGCTCAGGTCAGAACGTATTTCATATTTCTTTATTTTTTTAATTTCACATATATATTTATCAGTTCCGGTATTTATACTTCCTCATTATTCTGTAACATAAATAGTTCATCAGGGCAACAATAACTGCTTCTAAAACCAGGGGTAAAAATGGGTCAGAATTATCATCAACATCGTCGTCGTCGTCATCATCATTCAAACCTACATTCAACCCAGCGCACTCTAAAACGTTCTGACCATCGGGCAGTAATTTTTAGAAAGTTTGTACCTAAACTACCACCCCTCAGTACAATATAAGCCTGACATTGCTTCCTTTAAGAAATCAAGAATCCAACTGTCCTTCAAAAAGTTGTTAAATATTTCACAGCTCAGTATATACCTGTCCGACTTCTTAAGCAAGATGAACAATAATCCAGAAAAGAAGTGTCAGGTCTCAGAGATTGCCCATTGGTTCGTCAAAATGAAAAAATAGAACATCTTAACTAAATGGAGTCTTCAGATTTGCTGAAAAATATATTTCAGGTTGGCACAAATGGGAAATTTGCGCACCCTGAGCCAGTTGGTGCAAAACTGCTGCCTTCCAAAAGTATTAGGTCTCCAGCTAACGTATCTGTTGGCTATGTGACTCACAATTCAGGGAGCTTAAAGAACACTAGATTTGGTAAATACAGTGAAATCTTGATTTATCTTGATGAAAAAGATTTTATAAGGATCAGACCAATTTTCTGCACAAATTGATATCATTTGCATAATACTACACACACAAAGTAAATAATATAATTTGTCATTTGTGAAACAGCACCATTATGCAAATGACATAAATTAACACAAGTGGCATAATTAGTGTAATGGTATCAAGCAGATGATGCAAATTGTCACATTAGCACTTGCCAGTTTAACAGACATTCATTTTATAACAATCATCCTTAAAATTAATCTGTTAAAACTTAAGAGGTTTAAAAACGGAAAGCTGCATAATCACTAATAGGACAAAACAGGTTTTTTATAAATAAATGTGAATTTATTAGCTCAATGGAGCAGGCCAGCAAATTTGGCTTTCTCCATTTAGTCATTTCATTTTAAACCGAAGGCTCTGTATGGGCTTAAAATATCTCTTTTCAAATGTTAAAAATGGTATTGTGTTCCACAACATAATAAGTTTTCAATAGTACTAGGAAATACTGAAAATGTTACATTCAAAACCAGAAATCTGCTCTTACATCATTTACAAAATGACAATTCCATGTGTGTAGGTATAAAAACCACAATGACTTAACAATTGTCAATAAGAACAAACAAAAAAAAAATCTGGAAAGTGGAAGTTACAGTAAATCAAGACAGCAAGAATAGGAAAGAGATAACTGGAGGAAAAAACAAAATACAAAAGACCTACAAACAGAAGTAAAATGACTGTAGTAAAAGAAAGCAAAAGTAGTACCAATAATGATAGATCCCAAAGCTTCTGGAGCACCATTTGAATACCATCACATTGACAAAATCGCCATTAGTCAATTGTAAAAGGCAGCTTTACTTGGAACAGCATCCTGTGATGATATCTTTTAATGCCTTGGGAATAGGCGTTAAATAGGTGGATTAAAATGTCAAATCAAATCTAAATATTTGACTGACCAATCAATCAGGACCTATTACATGTAGGTCTTTATAGGTATTGACCAGCATTTTGAATTACACTCAGAAGCAAATTGGCAACCAATGTAACTCATGAAGTGGACAGATTACATGACCATATCAATGCTTTCCCATCACTGCTCGTACCACTACCTTCTGGATCAGTTGAAGCTTCTGGGGTGTCTTCAAGGGCAGCCCACGTAGAATGCATTATAGTAATCAAGCCATGAGATGACTAGAGAAATGAGTGACTATCTGCCAGGCTCCTCCAATCTAGGAAAGATGCAATGGGTGTACCAGATATAGTGGTACAAATACCTTCCTAGCCACACATAAATACCTAAGAACAAATTGTATATAGATAGGAAGGGTGTGTGTTGCAAGCAATGTGTGTATTTTGGCATGCCCAAGCCAAGGTTTCTATTCAGTTGGCTCATTCTCCCTGCCCCTTGGTTCTCAGAAGCAGCACAAGAAAGAGTGCTCACAACCAGCCTGTAGAATAACTAAGTCTTTTACATACAGTATTTGATAGTGGAAGAACTGACATATTTACAATATGGAACTTATAGCCCAAAAATTGCAGTGGCAGCAATTATCGTACAGCTAAGCTTGTATAGTTGGTTCATTGCCACTAAAGCCATGAACTTTTCTAATATACTTGTAGACTGGATGTTAATTGTATCTACCCTGTTAATCTGCTTATGGAAAGGCAACAAGATCGTAAGCAAGGATCTTTGATGCTAATTCCTGGTCCTGTCTACATGATTGACCCCTTTCACAGTAATTAAGTAGTGGGTTCATTCTCAAGGGCTAGTTTTCTCATATTTGGAAATAATTACAGAAGAAAACAAGCTTGTCCATTTTTCATTTGCTACCACATAAGTGACATTCAAATAAGTTGCAGCCCTCCGTTTCGTAACACATACGATCAACATGTATTGATCTTTATTGTTATTAAAAGAAAAGATTATATGGGGAGGAATTTCAGCACAGCATTTTTGAAGAAGCTATATTTTATCTGCAAAATGCTTTTCCCGTATTGATTATAGAAGTCATTTATTATAATTTGGCAATGGGCTTTAAGCTGTTCTTGTGAAACTACCATATTTATTACATATTTAACAGAAGATGAAGAAATAGCACCAACAAGAGATGTATCTCGTCACTTTGAGGATACTAGCTATGGCTATAAAGATTTCTCAAGACATGGGATGCACGTACCTACCTTCCGTGTGCAGGTAAGTCATACATTATCAGTATTGAATTGTAAAGTGTGCCCCAGAATATTAAGTGTATAAATTACATGCTGTATGGTTTTTTTAAATAACTTTTTTAGTTTTAGTTTTAGTTTTATTTGATTTGTATACCGCCCTTTAACTTTAAAGCAAGCATAGGCAATTTGGTGCCTTGCAGCTTTGAGCATTTACTAATCATTCTCAGGCAATATATAGGGGATTATTGTGAAAGCTATACAGATAGTCCTCAATTTATAACCATTTGTTTACCAACCTTTCGAAGTTACACCAGCACTGAAAAAAATGACCTGTGACTAGTTCTCATACTCACAACAGTCATAGCATTCCCACTGTCAAGGGATCAGAATTCAGGCACTTGACAATGGGCATGTATTGAGACAGTTGTAGCATCCTGGGTTCATGTGGGGGGGGATGATACTGTTCCAGCCGGCTTCTGACAAGAAAATTCAAAGGTGGAAGCTGAATTCACTTGACTGCAGTGACTCCCTTAACAAACCTATCAAAAAAGTTCATAAAACGAGGCACAATTCACTTGAAAAACACACTGCATAGGAATGGAAATTATGTCTCAATTGTGGGTCATAAATTGAAGACTACCTGTAGTTGAAACCAGTGGAGGACAACAGAGTATCCATGCTGTTGGAATACCTAGCAATTATCTCATTAATTTGTATTTTAAAAATGCAGTGAAAAAATTTTTTTTTTTCTACTTTGTTTGTGAGAACTTGCTTCCATGTATCTATTTTGCTTTTAAGGACTATTCGTGGGAAGACCACGGATATTCGCTGGTAAATCGTCTCTATCCAGATGTAGGACAACTGATAGATGAGAAGTTTCAAATTGCCTACAACTTGACTTACAACACAATGGCTATGCATAAAGATGTGGATACATCAATGCTTAGGCGCGCAATCTGGAATTACATCCACTGTATGTTTGGAATAAGGTTGGTCCGGATCAGCTTTAGTTATCTATTAATTTTGGAAATTTTTGTTTCCCATATTGCTTGAACACATATTATGGAAATTTATATTAAGAACCTACATCAAAAGCCATGAGCATACAATCAATGAACTGGATAAAAACCTAATTGCATTGGTAACTTCTTACTAACAAATGCTTTTAAAGGCAAATTCTGGATAACAATTGTGCTTGAGGTAAGAACCTTGTATCCCGAGAAAGCTAACTAGCTAAAAAAGCTAAAGCTAAAAGTAATTCTAGAACCGTGATGGCAAACCTATGGTGCACGTGCCACAGGTGGCACGCAGCGCCCTCTATGTGGGCACGTGAGCCATTGCCCCAGTTCAGCTCTGCCACACGTGCGCGCGCCTCCTGCCAGCCAGCTGGTCGGGTCTCTGCTGCTTATGTGCGGGGGGGGGTGTCACATGCACAGTGGCTACACACACATTGCATTTTGGGGGTTCAGGCACATTCGCACGTGCACGCTTTGGGCACTTGGTCTGGAAAAGGTTAGCTATCACAGTTCTAGAACAAAGATTTTGTGTTGCTCCCAAATCCATGGCTGGAAGATACTAAGAAAGCTGTCAGAGAAAGCAGCAGATTCAAAAAGGCAAAAGATAACTGCAGTACTCTGAAAGTCAATATCTGAACAGGACTACATAGAGTAGAAGATGGAAACAGGTCAAACCACCAAAAAAGGGGACATGTGCTGTTTCCAACTATTGAGAATGGACAAAAATACTGAGGGTACTACTATAATTGGGATTCTAGCAAAACCAGCTTAAGATCTACCAGAAAATATATGGCTGTGAAATAGCGAGGAATAGTGCAGTAATTATTATAACTGGCAACAATGTGATGCAAAACCTGAACATATTTGTTCTCCTGATTACAGATACGATGATTACGACTATGGTGAAATTAATCAGCTTTTGGATCGCAGCTTTAAAATTTATATCAAAACTGTAGTATGTGCTCCTGAGAGAACCACAAATAGAATGTATGATGGCTTCTGGAGGCAATTCAAACATTCTGAGAAGGTATGTTGTATATGCGATGTTATACATCTGTGTGTTGTAACTTAGTAGGTTGAATAATATTGACAGTTTAATTTACTAAAGCATTTGTTTTGCTTATATTGACTTTATCTCTTTACACTTTTGCTAGGCTATACAATTTTTCTCTTTGCATTATTGCTTTTAGTAGAAATCACATTAAAGTACTGTATTGAAGAAAATTCTGTAGGTCCCTATGATTAGAGCTACCTTGCCTCACCAGATAAGATGTAAGTCATTCCAGGCCTAAAGCTTGGTGGCGCAGTGGTTAGAATTTTGAATTTTGAATATTGCTTAACGCACTGTAAGCTGCCCTGAGTCTCGGAGAAGGGCGGCATATAAATCAAATTAAAAAAAAAAAAAAAGAATGCAGTACTGCAGGCTACTTCTGCTGACTGCTGGCTGCCTGCAATTTGGCAGATCAAATCTCACTAGGCTCAAGGTTGACTCAGCCTTCCATCCTTCCGATGTCGGTAAAATGACGACCCAGATTGTTGGAGGCAATAGGCTGACTCTGTAAACAGCTTAGAGAGGGCTGTAAAACACTGTGAAGCAGTATATAATTCTAAGTGCTATTGCTATCATAGCCTAATGAATATTTGCATATAGGTACCGTGTTTCCCCAAAAATAAGACATGTCCTAAGGCCAATTGGGCTTTTCAGGACATGTGATAATATAAACCACCCCAGCAAAATAAGCCCCCACCACCAACTGCCCCACTCCCCCCCGCCGGGCATAACAGGGCTCCTGCCCCTCGCTTAGCCACACGCCCCCTTTAGGGTGCAGTTTGGGGGTGGCAGGTAGGGTGGGCGAGAAGCGTCTCGCTTCTCCCCCACCCCACCTGCCACCCCTCTCAATAAAGAGATGGTGGGGAAGGGAAGCAGCCAGGCTGCTGTTGCCATTGGGATGGGATGTGTTGGGCCGCGAGACACGCGTCTTACCTTTCCAGCACTTTCTCACAAGTTCAGCCAAACTCCTTGAACTCACAAAGTTTTTTTCTACAACGTGTCTCCCTGGACAGAAAGGCGAGGAACGTGATGGTGCTGGAAAGATAAGACGCACGTCGCACGGCCCAACACGTCTCGTCCCACCCCAATGGCAATAGCAGCCTGGCTGCTTCCCTTCCCCACCGTCTCTTTATTGAGAGGGGTGGCAGGTGGGGCGGGCAAGAAGCAGGACGCGCATCTTACTTTTCCAGCACCATCGCATTCCTCGCCATTCTGTGCAGGGAGACACATTGTAAAAAAACCTTTCTCGCGAGTTCAGCCAAACTCCTTGAACTCACGAGAATGACACCACCTGTGCTGGTATGATGAAGCTCGTGGTGGTGCTGCAGTTCGTGCATGCAATGGCACAAGCCTTGCAGAGTCCTGCTCCATGAGGAAGCAGCGGTGGCGGGAGACGTCAGGGCAGTGGCCAACGCGAAGAATGGGGAGGGGAGGCAATGGCAGCAGTCCCAGTCCCACGCTTACCGCCTCCTGCACCCCCAAAATAATAAGACACCCCCCCCCCCAATAATAAGGCCAAGCTCTTATTTTGGGGGGTGTCAAAAGAAAATAAGACCCTGTCTTATTTTCGGGGAAACACGGTATTATATGGAGGCAGCAGTTCTAATTGGCTGTTGCATAATATCCCTGCCATCATCCATCACTAGTACGTTCATGGATTCTCTTCTGGCTTCAGTTCAAATATTAGCATGCCTTAGAATACTGTAATGCACAAAAGACACTAAACCCAACTTTTTTTTATTTTCTTTAAGGTTCACGTCAATTTGCTTCTCATAGAAGCACGGATGCAAGCTGAACTGCTTTACGCTCTGAGAGCCATTACTCGTTACATGACGTGAAAACCTTGGGCAGTAATCGAAGGTGCCACAGGGGCAACTTGCCAGGGCTTGTTAAGGAGCTTCTCAACCAGCAGGGGCTAAAAGCCATGAAATTATTTGTGCCATAGTGTTTATTATTATTATTCCTACTGCTACTACTAGTATTATTGCAGCTCCTTCCTTAGTGGGATATTACTGCTGATGTTGAGGTTGGTGGTAGGACAGTTGTTCAGAGACACAATCAAATGGATTCCAGCCTGCTCTAGTTAGCATAGGAGGCAATGACTTCTGGCAGACAACTAATTACCGAAATCTTCATGTATTGTCAGAAATAAGAATCTGGAAGATAAGAATTTACTTTTGATATAAGGGTGAATAATGTTGTAAAAGTCCTGATGCTGCTGAACATGCTGGTTAAATGAAGAGACTAGCAATTCCAGTTATTAAGCTATAAACAAATGCAAGTAATGCTATCGTCTGAGCCTACATTGTATGTGATGTTAAGAGAACCTCCTTGCTGACAATGCAGAGCTGAACAGGATGTTACATTAGCAGTTTTGATTGTTAAGAGAATCTTTTGCTGTCTAGGTTGGTCTTATTATTTCAGACTGAGGCAGTGCGAGACTATCAAAGCTGCTTAAAAATCTGCAACTTTGTGAAAAAACTGAATAGTTGAGAGCAAGGATAGATAATCTTACTTCTTCAGTATTCCTAGAAGCTATCAAAGGTGTCAAAATATCAATTCAGGCCTCAAATAGTTTCTTACTAAAACACTCATTTCTACAGTCTGCCCCTTAAGTAGCAGCTTATGTAGTTAAACAAGAAAATAGCGTAAGAACAACAAGAACAAAAACCCTGTAAGTGATTTTGATATACGTATGTGAGTGCGTGCATGTGTAAAATATATGAACACTTTTTGTATGAGGTCTTTGTTAGTATTACTGGGTTGTTTAAATAAAAAAATAACATTTTCCTCTTTTTTTCAGACTTTTTACATTAATACTGGTATCATTCATTACAAAATAGACGAATGAATGCTGTATCTGGTGTGTATTTCTAATTTGTGTTTGAGAGAAAAACGACAAAAGTTAAACTGCAATTCTTGACAGTTCAACAGGAAGCATCTGCTATTTCCTTTATTCAAAAATGCAAGGCAAATGCTGATCCAAAACATATAAGCCAAATGTGCAATTTTAAAGTTGGCTTTGGCTAAAAATACCAATTTCATTCCCTGCTCTATGAATTTCATTTGTGAAATCAAATAACTATCTCACTTAGAGGCGGCATATAAATTAAATTAAATTAAATTAAATTAAATTAAATTAAATTAAATTACCAGATTGGCTTATCAATAAAGGGACAAGGATTATAATCTTATCACATAAATACATTTACAATAGTTTAAAAGTAAAAATCTGCATTTATACTGTGATTTTCAATACATTTTTAAAATATTGGGTGGAGAATGTTAGTCTGAATCATCTAAAAATTCATTTTGAAATTGTTGACCAAATGCAATACTATTCTATACATTAAAACCTAACAAAATTATTTAACAATGAATGCTGTCTGAATTCCTTGATCTATACTTGATAACCATGGTTCTAATTTTTGCAATCTTTTATAAAATCTTAAATATAAAGCATAACATTACTATAAAGTTAAATCAAAAAGATACTCAATTCAGATGTTGCAATTAGTTTATTTCTATGTTTCCTAAATGCCATTGGAAATTTAAGAAAAAGGTGTTTTACAATGAATGTCTATGCTACGTAGAAAAATTAGAAAACAAAAAGCATTTTTCATGGAAACATACTGAAATGTTTTGATATCTAATGATTTGCAAAAGCAGCTGCAGAAGTGATTCGTGCATTGATTGATTCAACACCCATCTTGAAACACAGTATTAGGAACTCAAGTAATGATTTTCAATTTTGAATTCTCTGGAGAAGTTTGTGTGCCACAGGTTTGAACTCTGTTTCCCAATAAAGTTTGTGATATTCTCTTAAGTCACTGTCAAAACTGTAAGCCAGGGCCAGTTCTTCATCTACAGCAAGAAAAAGAATACCTACCAATCAGCATTAAATATAACTTAAAACAGTTTAAGAATTATTCACACATCTATTTGGATGTATCTGCTACCAACCCAAAGAAGAATCTAAAGCAGGGATGTCAAGCTCAAGGCCTGCGGATCGGGTCCGGCCTGTGGTGTGCTTAGATCTGGCCCGTGGGGCCACACTGGAAACAGCGAAGGATTGGCCCGTAGTGCCTCAGCCTGACCCAGGCCGACCAGGCGCTGATTTACAATCTGGTGGCGGCTGGCAGCGTACTGGAGGCGGCGGTGGCAGCTGAAAACGGAGCTCAGGTGGGCCATGCGAGCTCCGTTTTCACTGGCAGCTTGCTAGCAAAACTATTAGCAAACGTGGCATTTGCTCACAGACTAGGAGGCACTGAGAAATGTTTCCCCTTTTGCATTTGAGCATCCAAGAAAGGAGAGGAAAGGAGAAAGGGAAAGAGGAAAGACAAAAAGAAGGGAAGATGGGAAGAGAGTAAGGAAGGAAAAAGAAGGAAAGGGGGGAAGGAAGAAGAAAGGGAAAAGAAAAGAGAAAGAAGGAAGGTGATTATAATGAGAGGGAGGGAGGATCTGAGGGAAGTCCTGCCTTAGCACTTGGCCACCAGCAGCCCTGCTGCCATTTCGCCATTGCCTTTTTTCCTCCTCCTGCCCTCTCCTGGTGGTCTCCCATTCTATCGCTGAGGATGCTTTTGTTACAAAGCTGGGTCTCCTCGCATAGAGAGGGAGTGGGCGTCCCTCTGACCCACACACTTTGCCCTCCCACACACACCATGAGCAACATAGCCAAGGAGAGTAAGCATAGCAGCAGCAGCCTCGAGGAGGTAAGCACAGCCAGGCACCCCCTCGGAGAAGCAGAGCTGCCCTGTGGGGTACCGGTGCCCTGGGAGCTCAAAGGACGGGCTAGGCACTTACCCTCCAGCCTGCGCTGCCATTCTGGGGTCCTCCATGTGGCCTGAGTTGGCGAGGACAAGGGTTTGGCCCTCTCCCTGGTCTCGCCTTCCTCCGCTGGAGACAAAGGATCCTCCCAACCCCGCTTGGGCTACCACAGGCGTCCCCAACACAAATGACATCAAGCTGGCCACGCCTACCCCAGACACACCCACTCCCGAGATCAAATGGAACCATGATGTGGCCCTCAATTAAATCAAGTTTGACACTCCTGATCTAAAGAAAAGAATGTGCATAAATATCTTAAGATAAATATCCTGAGGAGTTTTGGTAGTCGATTTTTTCCCCTGCCTTTAAGTCAGACTTGACTCCTGATTACTTCATTGAGTTTTCTAGGCAGTGTTTTTGGAGATGGTTTGCCACTGCCACCTTCTTGAGGCTGAGAGGGAGTGACTAGCCAAATACCTAGCTAGCTTTCATGCAGGAATAAAACTCAGGTTTCTGTGCTCCTAGTCCAACAATTTAACCACTAGATCAAACTGGCTCTCAAATAATTGATAGCTTCTTTTTTTAAAAAACAGGTGGTTGGTAATATCATGAGCCATGGTGGCAGTGTTAGAATGTAGTATTGCAGGCTAACTCACTGCTCATTGCCAGGAGTTCGATCCTGATCGGCTCAAGGTTGACTCAGCTTTCCATCCTTCCGAGGTCGGTAAAATGAGGACCCAGATTGTTGGAGGCAATTTGCCATTTGCTGACTCTGTAAACCGCTTAGAGAGAGTTGTAAAGCACTATGAAGCGGTATATAAGTGCTACTGTTATTGCTAGTAATGATTTCTTGCTAAGACACTGGAAAGGCTGTAAAGAAAATAATGGGCTACATAGAAAAAAAGTCATGTAAGCAACTTTCTATATGTCCTATTTCCATTCATTAAAGAAACAGCTTTTACAGCTTACCAAGAAATGTCATAAGAAGAACTAGTAGACCGTTTGAGTCATCATCTTCAAAGCAGGGGTCATTACTTGTAACATTCTCACTGTAGTTCCACAAAGTTTTGCATATCAAACCAGCCAGTTGCCAGTCTGTGGGCCCAAAATCTCTCAAGCAATCGATTAATCTGTTGTAATAATAGGTGAATAGCTGTTATTAAACCCTTGAAAACTAGAGTCTTTGTAGAAGCCTTGTAGGAAATAGAAAGAACAAATATACTAGATATCCCCCGACCCTGTGTGAATTTCAGCAATATCTTTTCTGACTCAGCTACTTTCTAGGACTTACTTTTTAATTCCTCCTTCTTCATTCAAAATACTCCGCCTGCTTTTATCCACAGTAAGATTGAGGAGAACTCCACAGGCTGAAAAGCAGACATCTTGGTGCTTGGCATCAAGCAAAGCAATCATGAACTTGTACACTAGATCACAGAAGAAGAAAAATCAAAGAGAACAAACTTGCTTTTAAGAACACATAACTTATCAGATGCACCATTACAATACTGCTATGCCACTTCTAAAAGACTGACATACTGACTTCTCTTCTGTAGCAGTTATCAGTTATCTATGCAATTAATGAAAATGCCATATTTTTCAAAGGGTTTATCCCAATAATCTCAACATGAACACTTGGCATGACTACTTTCAGCACAATTACTCTTGATTGTTTTTTTAAAAAGTCCCCTGATACAAAGCTGAACTCATGCATTGCTCTCTCATTATATTTTGGGCTTTTCAATTTTTTAAAAGTAAAAAGTATGTATTTTAATTGGAAGGCAATCAGAGTGTAGTATGAAATGACATATGTGCCTTTGCAAATTCTGCTTAAATTTAACCATCTCCTTTTATGACCCTTGTCCAAGCATTCCGAAATAGAACTCTTTCTGTGCAGATTGTTTTAACAGCCAGTTCTTTTAAGCAAAATCTAACAGGCAACATTTTGTGAATATATGATTTGTGTTACTTTATTTAACATGGTTATTTCTAATGGAATAGGAGCTCACCTTTTCGCTGTATAATAAAATTGCAGATTTCATGGTTTTGAGAAAGATTACCAAAGACACGAATAGCCTCCAGAATTCCATCCATATGACTGCTCATTAACATCTTTAAAAGCACTGTAAGTGGAAAATACACTGCATTAGATATATATTTTAAGGGATAAGTATCTTTTTCCAAAAACAGGACAGTTAAATATGTCTCAGAAGGTCAAACTAAGCAATGAGTACATCTTTATTTTAGCCTCTCAGAGTAGAGGGAAAAATTGCTGTGTGTTGTGCTTCAGCTAAAAGTGCCATGACACCTACATATAAATACAATTTATACAATGCTATGCATAAGTCGAGTTACCCTTGATCAAGTTTTAATACTAAAAACAGGACATCAACATAGTGTAGAAGTAATATCCACAGTCAATGAAACTGAAGTTTAAAACAGTTGGATACTTCAGCAAGACAATGTTCAAATCAACCCTATTTACAGAAAAGAAAGGTTTTTGCAATGCTTCACAGTACCCACAAATGAGTATTATTGAAAATCTATAGGGAGAACTCAAATGTGTAGTTCATGCAAGGAGATCTAAAATATTTCTGATTTAGAAAAGTTCTCCGTGGAAAAGTTCCCAAAAGTTTTCTTAGGTTATTACCAGAAATGTTTGAAAGCTCTTTTTTTTTCTGCCAAAGGAGATATTTCAAAATATCCACCGAAAAGGTGTCCAAACTTTTGCATTCACAATATTTACTGGGGTTTGTTTTAAAACTTTGAACCTGTTCACTACTGCACACAAATAATAGGTGTGCAGTTAAATTTGCACAAAGATGTTGTATTTAAACTTTGCACCATTCAGAGGTTATGCCAGTTTATTTTTACTTAGGGATTCACTGAAACATACAATTGGACCAGGACTGTATACATTCCACTAACTAGGGAAGCCTAGTTAGTGGAAGAACCAGGAAAAAAAAAGCTTTAAAATATTATTTCCCTTTATTTTCTACATTCTGCTGAAACTGCCCTCATAAG